AGCGGAGCTGACGCAGAACTTGGTTACGTTTTTGGGGGGAGCGTAGGCCTTTAACATTCCATGAGATTACTTTTATGTTATAGCAGGTGTCTGGCGTCTAGTTCGCTGACCAATAAACTTACTAGAGGCTGCTCGGACACTAGATGCTTTCAGGTCCCCAGAGTCCCGCCCGGTCACCGTCCAGTTACAGGTGAGGATAATTTCAGTACAGAGGGGTGCTATGCTCCTTGTGGGGAGGAAAAAAAAAACCCCCACGACAGTGTGGGGATAACCCAGTGTGATGTACATATGGATAAAATTCGGAAGTGTATGACCCAACTTAGCTTAACTATAAACAACAGTAATAACCGACTAAAATTGACTGACTGGTATTTCCCACGTCATGCATTTGTGGGGAAGGCGCTCACACCCTTGTGTCTACCACAACACTATACAGTAGAGAATACCAAGGCCTTCATCAGTACCCAGAGATGCAGAAATAATCCCGCGGGGTAAACCTAATTGAACAAACCACATTTCCCTCGTCACCCAGTTTGGAACAATATTCAAGAGAAATATAGCAACCCAAGGCATCTATGGCGTATAGTCACACAACAATGCAGTAGAAATACTTGCGCCCAGCTGTCTCAGGGGATCCAGGATGCCAAGCAGGGGCATCAGCGCTGCCGATATTTACGGGGCGTGCCCCCCGTTTTCTTTGAGGATCTTGTGAATTTACGGGGTGTGCGAGGTGAACGAGCAAGACGTGCAGAAGGTGGAGGCTTGGAGGGAGACCCAGATGACGATTCCAGTCGATTCACCGCTTCCGCGGCCTCTATTGGATCTTGGAAAGAGAGACGCTTACCATCTGCATCATCAAAAAGTATAGAATAGCCGGATATGCCAATGTGAGCCGAATTTGTCTTTGGACAAGGGCTGAGCAGACCTCATTGAAGGCTTTGCGTTTCTTGGACACTTCAGCCGAGTAATCTGCAAATATGAGTAGTCGGTGACCCTCCACTTCAAGTAGTCTTACCTGCACACTCTTCGAGCAACTTTACTTTCTTCCGAGATCTTGTGAGTGTCGGCAGCTGTCGTTCCCCCACACTGCAGTCTCCCTGCAACGATGTGATCATCTTGGCGGGCAGCGACGGGCTCAGAGCTGGGAGAGGCGGGGAGGAGGTGCAGCGTAGGGCGTGAAGTGTGCGGTAAGTGTGGAGCCGCAAACAGGGGCAACTAATCAAAAGTTTAATCAAAAGACCGGAACACACTGCTTATGGTGTGAGCTAACCCTTAGTGACATGCTGAACTCTGGGGTTAGTGACCTGCTGGATTTTGGGCTTAGCGTCGCACTGGATGCAGGGCTTAGTGACCTGCTGGACGCAGGGCTGAGTGACTCGATGGACGCAGGGCTGAGTGACCCGATGAACAAAAGGCTGAGTGACACGATGGACGCAGGGCTTAGTGACGTGATGGACGCAGGTTCTTAGTGACGACGCGCTGGACACAGGGATTAGTGACGACGCGCTGGACGTAGGGATTAGTGATGACGCGCTGGACGCAGGGAATAGTGTATGCAGGACCCACCTAAGAGTGACCCTGCAGAGCCCACCATAGGTGCTGGACAGCCCATCTCAGACTGTCTATGGTGGGCTCTGAAGAGGTCTCAGGTGGGCTGGTCAGGGCTGCATCCCCCTCCCTTCCAGCTCCTCTTTCCTGCCCCCCGGGTGTATGCCTCCTCTCTCTCATCCCTCACCTGGACGGACCGGAAGTGACGTCATTTCCGCTAGTCCCTTTCATACCAGTAGCGTCGCTGATGGGGCCCCAGCTTGTCTCGAAGTTGCTGGAGCGGCAATGCTTGCGACCTGCGCTGCTAGGACCAGGCCTCCGCCGCTGCTGCTGCGTGGGCCTGGCAGCCTCCTCGCCCTTCACCATCGGCCGATACTCATGTAAGGGTCCCGGGTGGGCCCCAGGGCTGCCCAGGCCCTTTAAATGAGTATTAGCCATACCCCCCTGATGGCGGCCCTGGTAACAGTAAAGAGTAAACATAAAGTGAAGAGTTAAAATACACGCTGCATGGCATTTTAAAGGCACACTGCAACGCATCACATGGCCGGTTTGAAACTGCATGTTTAGAAATGCATTGCAGCTTTCTTTAAGAATAAATGCACTTCTCCTTTATGTCCCTACCCTTTACCTAATCTACCCTCCACCTCTGCACATACACACTTACCTTATTCCAATGGCCACGGATTTGATGTTTGTGGGATCTGTTAGGTCAGGGGGGGGGGG